CAACTTCCTTATTAAGACCCTAAAACTCAAGAAATAAAACCAAGACCCAATAAATGGGATAGCATTAAATTAAAAAGCTTCTGCATAGCAAAGGAAACAATTAAAAATTGAAGAAGGAACCTACAGAATGGGAGAAAATCTTTGCCAGCTATCTGACAGGGGATTAATAACCAGAATATAAAGAATTTAGAAAACTTAACACTAAAAAAAATAACAATTCACTCAATAAATGGGCAAAAGATCTAAAGAGATATTTCTGAAAAGAAGAAATGTATGAAAAAAATGTTCAAGATCCTTAGCAATCAGAAAAATGCCAAACAAAACTACACGGAGGTTTTCTCTAATCAGTCAAAATGGCAATTACCATGAATACAAATAACAATTACAGACAAGGATGTGAGAAAAAGTTCACTTATACATTGTTGATGGGATTGCAAATTAGTACAACCATTTTGGAAAGCAGTATGGAAATTTCTCATAAGACTAGAAATCGAATGACCATATGACCCACCTATCCCACTTCTTGGTATTATTCCAAAAGAACTAAAATCAGCAAACTAATGTGATACAGGCACATCAATTTTTTGTAGCAGTGCAATTAACCATAGTCAAGTTTTGGAACCAGTCCAAGTGCCCATCAACAATAAAATGTGGTATATATACACACAACGGAGTACTACTCAACCATAAAGAAGAATAAAATATCATTTGCTGAAGAACATCATGCTAATTGAATAAGCCAAACTCAGTCAAGGATCAAATGTTCACTGTCATATTTGGAAGCTAGAAAGAAAACAAGGAATAAAAAAGGGTGGATTTCACAAAAACAGAAGGGAGATCAATAGAGTAGAAGTAAGGGAGACCAAGGGCATGGGAGGAGGGGAGGCAAAGGGCAAGAACTGGGTAATAAAGTTGAGAGTATCATGCTATATGCATGTATGGATATATCATAGTGTGTTCCAATTTTATATATAAGTATAATGTACCAGCTAAGTAAATAAGTAAATGGAAGGAAGACCAGAGTAAAGAGATGGGGGTCAAAGGGAGGGAGAAGGGAAAGGAGGAGCACAGTACTGAGGATTAAAATGGAAAAAAAAACCCTATGTATATGCATTTACGAACATGTCAAAATGAACCCCACTATTATGTATAATTACAATGCACTAAAATAAAAAAAAATTAAAAAAAGAATTCGTTCAGCTATTCCTGTGTTATGGAACAATTGATTCCAGGGCTTTTAGGGCTAAAAGAAATCTTTTTATATTACACTGCATTAGCTATCTTCCACTGGTCCCCATTAGATATGGGTTTCTTGTAGGCTGAAAACATGATGGTTACTGTCCTCAATACTCAATATCTGTTATAGTTTGAACATGAAATATACACTCAAAACATGCTTCATGAATGCATGAATAAACCCTGGCAATCACAACACTGATTGCCTTCTTCACATTGATCCTTGCACTCAAATTCACAAGAAAGAGGTTGAACTTTCAAAATTAGTATATTTTATTAACAAATGACCATGGGGTGATCATTTCTAGTAGGGAAAGTAGGCCAACTTCTATAAGATCATGAGAAGATGAAGACGTATCCTCTCTAACATGATAAGAGCCAGGGTTAGGATTGGTGGAATTGGTGGTGGTAGTGGTGGTGTGTGTGTGCCTGTCTGTGTGTACAGGTTAGAGGAGGGAACTCAAAGAGGAAGAGTAGTTTTGTGGTGCAAATATTGTACCCAGACATCTAAGCTGTCACAGAACAAAATGGTCACTTACTTTTGAATTTAGATTTTAGCTTCATGGAAAAATATGAATAGTAAGAACAGCCTATATGCCCTATAGCACAGATTATCTTGTATAAAAAAATCCAAAGAGGTCTGTGTTTTAATTTTTCCTCTAATTAACCCATTTCTTAATCTAATAGCTAACAGAAGCAGACTCAGAATTCAAACTATAACATTAAACAGCTGACATGCTATTAGCTTAGATCCAGGGCTTTGAAAGGACACAGGAAGAAGGATGTGCTGGGGGAAGAGATCTGATTCTGCCACAAACAGCTGTGGAATCCCAGGCAAACCTGTTTTCTCCCGGGGCCTCACTTTCCTTTCTATGAATTAGACAATTGGATCTGGTGACAGCTAAGTTTCCTTCCAGATTTAGGATTACATAAAGCTAAGCAAAATGAGAGTAATAGTCTGGGGTGTCAATTTCAGATTAAAGAGGCATGCTCATCATCTTATATTTATATAGTCTGAGAAACCCTGCTACAAATTTATTTTGAGAAAGCAAGTAGTTGATTTTCTAAAATCAGCATACACCAACTGGCATTGGTCCTATTTGAGTGCTCTAGATGAATCAAGTATCTCTATGAAAATCTTAGAGTCAAAACTGGTACTGGGGGGAGGAAAGACAAGGTAGAAACCTGTTGAGTCCTTTTTGGTGAGGATTCTGTTTAGGCTTTGCTAGTCCATTTCATGTTCTTGCTTTTTTTTGTTGCTGTTGCTGTTGTTTTTGGGGGGTGGGTTCCTGTTTTTATCACACTGCTCAAGAACAAGGCCAGGGGCCCTTACAAGTTCTTTCCTTCTGATCTTACTATATGCATGACCCCTATTTCTTATTCTGTGTCTCTTACAGTCATTTACGTGCTGAGGTCAGCCCTCTAAATACTAGTTAAGTATTAACTGAATGTCTGGAAACCAAATACTGCATTTGTATATTCTTAGGGATTTTATCTGGAGAATTTCCCAAGAAAAGTTAAGTATTTTTGAGTCTCATTTAAAAGAATGTTCTCCTTTCAAATAAATGCATTCTTCAACTATTACTTTTTTATTTTGTCATCATCTCTTTCTTTAGGTATTTTTAATATATAAAATATATAATGGATGTATATATAACATATGTAATGCATGTGTGTATCTATATCTACCTATATATTTATATATTTTTTAATTTATTTTTTAGTTGAACGCAATACCTTTATTTTATTTATTTATTTTTATGTGGTGCTAAGGATTGAACCCAGGGCCTTGCACATGTTAGGCAAGCACTCTACTGCTGAGCCACAACCCCAGCCCAATATATATAATTTTTGGTACTGGGGATTGAACCCAGGGCTGCTCAACCACTGAGCCACATCTCCAGATCTTATTTTATTTTTTTATTTTGATACAGGGTCTCACTAAATTGCTTAGGGCTTTGCTAAGTTGCTGAGGCTGGCTTTGAACTTGTGATCCTTCTGCTTCAGCCTCTCTAGTCACTGGGATTACACACACACACACACACACACACACACACACACTACCACCCTGGTTGATGGTTATATTTTTATTTGGCATTTAAGCATAAATATTTGAGTCTAATTAATAACATTTTCAAATAAATGCATTCATTTAACATAATATCATAGCCCTTCCTTTATGTTTGCCAATCTTCCATAGCTTGATTAAAAACCTATTGCCAGTATATTTTAATCAAATTTCCTCTAGTACATTAACAATATTCTAAACATTCAATTTTTAAATAAGATATCAACATTCAGTAATTTTCATTCCAGATTGATTCTATAAAGCCATTTCAACAGCATTACCTTATTTATCTCTATCCTATTAACCCAACTGGCTTTTCCCTGTTTACTACCCCAAGATTAAAAAAAAATTTTATATCATGAAGACCAGCAACAACTAAGGAAAATGGAAATAGAAATATCCACAAATGGGTTAAATTTTTCATCATATTTGTGATGTTACTGCAAGACAAATTCTAGAGTGGTTCTCAACAGTGTCTTTACAGATTACAGTGAAATGCATCAAAATGGTCTTCTGAAATGCAGTTGACTAAATCTGGAAGGTTAACAATCTGTTTTATTGTTTGTTTGTTGTTTTAATCTCGGGGCTCCTGAGATACTAAAACTTCCAATAATAAGGAACTCTATGCTTGTCAGAGTGGCTGGCAATTCATGGCCCTAGAGAACCTGCCACCTTCAGGAAGTCCACTCCCCTCTTACTCCTGGTGTGCCTACCTAATATACAGGAAAGACAACTTTACAGCCAAGTGGAACCAAGGACAAGTTTAATTCAAGTACATTGTTTAATATCTATAACACAAACCTCCTGCCAAGAGGGGAAAGTAAGAGTTCAGGTGAAGAGGACATGACCTCAGGTGAGCATCAGATTAAATTCTGGGCTACATGGGGGTGGGAGAGAATACAGAATATAAAGGGTGTGGGTGTGGCTTCTCCAAACAGTACATAGATTTTTTTTTTTGACCATTACATAGTTATTACTTCTCCCCTTCTGGCTGTTGGCACCTATATTACTTTTAAAAGTCCAGTCAACACTGATGAAGTTTGTGAGTATTACAAGAAGCTGGTGCCAGCAAGAGGAGCATGGTATAGTTAAGCATCAGGATCTCACCCAAGAGGTGAAGGACAGGAAGGAATTTTGAATTTGATTAATTTTTTTCTGGTAAATTAATGAGTTTTGCAGGTCAGGAGCAATGACCTTTTAAGGCCTGAGACACAGTTGGTGATGAGATGCCACAGAATATTATTTCCATTAAAACTTTTAGAAAAAACCCCCACATAACTCTTTAGAATAATACTGATTTCAAATCAATACAAACAAAATCAACATCAAGCAAAGTAGGAAATGATTAGGCATATTTTCTTTTCAGACTGATGGTGAGCAAATATCCTGGACTTTGGTCCATAGACTCAAGAAGTATTAGACAAATGTTTCTTATTCTTTTGCAACCTATGCTAGCAACTTTACCCTGTATCATAATATTTTAAAAGAATAACTTGATACAAGCAGTGACCTTTAAGTCATTTAACCTAATAACATTTCAGAAATTTATTCTTAAATGTAGGGTATTTCAGTAGTGTGGCCATGAGTGTGGTCTAATTAGAACACATGCTTCCTTGCTATAAGGTGGTGCCTTTGTTTCCCCAAGCTGGATTGCTTACACAGTGCAGACCAGAGTAAGAAATGCCCCATTGCCTACCTGACATAGAGGGAGCGTTTCTGATTGGTTCGCAGGGACCCAGACCCGGAGCTCATGCTGTGGTTCATCATCTGCTCCCGTAGGTCATGGATTTTGGCCTCAAATCGAGCGTAATCTGGGAATGGAAACAAAGATGGTAAATTTGGTTCTGTTCCTTTAGAGAGAGAAAGAGAGAAAGAGACACTGAGAGGGAATGCATTACTGTATAGCCAAGGCAGCTACTCATCCCATCACTGATTCCTTTGCCAAGCAACAGGGAGATGCTTAACTCCACAAGAGTATACTTGCTCACTATTATTTTTTCTTCACAAGATCTTTCAAGAGAAGAAAAAATCAGTTACTTCACAAAAGTCACCAAGAAAACACACTGCCATCCAACCCCAGCTTATACAAAGTCCACAGGAAAGAGAGCAGGAATGGAAGGATGCGGGGGCAGGATGGGAGGGTGGTCATAAACAGGCAAATGGCATCCTCCTGGTAATAGAGATGTTCTCTATCTTAGCTGCATATATAGGTACAGACTAAATTACATAGAACTCTACACACACACACACACACACACACCCCAAGTAAAAGTGAGAAAATCTGTATAATACTGATGAGTTGTTTCAATGTCAATATCCTGATTATAATGTAGTGCTAAGTTTTGAAAAATGTTATTATTGGAAAACACTAAGTAAAGGGTATATGGGACCTCCTTAGAATATTTCTTACAACTGCATGTCAGTCTATTTATTTCAAAGTTTAAAATTTAGTTTATGAAAGAGAAAAACAGAAAACAAGCCAAAGGAATTTCCAACACTATGAGGTGTTGAGTCTCCAGTTGCCCTTCGCATGATAGACTAGAGGATCACTATTTGGATGACTGAATAAAAAATGTCATTTAGTTTGACTAAGTTTATTTCTGAGGAGGGCTACTAAAAGTTGATCACTAGTTATCATACCTCAACTGTCCTTACTTTGCACACATTATCAAACTTCATCAATTTTAAGATGTGGAATATATTTAAATTAGGAGAGAGATATTAAAATAGGGATAGAAAACATTGTTATGTAAAACATATTTTAGAAATATTTGAACTTGATAAAAGTACATATGTTCCAAAAATCAAGGAAATAATAGGTGTTGTATCATGCTACTCATAGGAAAAATTTGCCATTTTAATCTAATAAAAAAGATAGCACAAAAAAGTTTTAAGATACTTATTAACAAAATTATCATGTAAAAATAAAGTTTTTGAAGTTTCAATATTCTTGATGACAACCTAAACATTTTTCTATCATGGCCTTGGCAGAGGAGTGCCTTGCTTTAAGAAAAACCAGTAGGTAAAAGAACCATGGTGGCACCTGCCTGTATTCCCAGACTCAGGAGGCTGAGGCAGGAGGATCACAAGTTTGAGGCCAGCTTCACCAACTTAGTGAGGCCCTAAGTAACTGAGCTAGATCCTCTTTTTAAACAAAAAATAAGAAAGTCTGGGATGTAGCTCAGTGGTAAAACATCCCTTGATTCAATTCCTAGTACGAGAGAGAGAGAGAGAGAGAGAGAGAGAGAGAGAAGAAAAACCAGTAGGTGAGAGGCTTAAATTACCCACAGACAAATGTGAAAATGTTAATTCAAAAATAAAATATTATTTTAATTACAAAGTTGCTCATGATGAAGAATTTTTATAGAGGTCTTCAGTATACTTCAAAAACCAAATTGATGTTCAGTTCAATTTATTCACAACTTTTCATGAAAATAAGGATTACTAAATGAATATAATAAAAGATGGTCTACTTAGAGAGTGTTTCAAGTTCTTTACTAAGAAGTCCCATAAAATTAAGCTAAATTTCAACTTACTGAATATTTATTGGTTATTACAAGGTGGGCTTTCCAAAAAACCTGATTAGTTTCTGACAATAGACAACAGGATAATAAGCTCCAAACGTTAATTATGTTTAAAAGTTAGTGCTCTAAAGAGCACTAAGAGTGCTCTAAAGCCATAAGAGTTGGCTGGTAATTTCTGGTGCTTAAACAATGTCTGGCTTATCTAAATTTGGATGGTTTCCTGTTAAAACTTGGCTTTGAATAATTAGGTCCTAAATGGTTAAAAAGCAGAACACCTATTTAACATACACTTTACTCCCCATAAATTAAGACAATTTATTTTATTCCATTTTACTAGCAAGAAAAAACATTTATTTATCTCCATTGATATGATACTATTTGCAGATTTAAATCATTTTGAGCAAGCCATATTCTCTTGCTACACTAAAACAGGCAATTAACATTTATTGCTGGCCACATGGCAGACTATGTTCAGAGCTTCATGGGCCTTATGTCATTTCTTTATGTTACAAAATTAAATCCATGTATGTTAAAAAATTTGAACTACATAGGAAAACACAGAATGAAAACTGAAAAATCCTCTTATGCCTTCTGCCTTTCCTTACCTTCTTTCTCACTGTTGTACTTCCCCATACCTCACCCTAAATGGACATGCGTGGTTTTATGTTGGATATGTTTGTGGGTATATGCTTGTATGTACACACATATGTCATGCCTTGAGACCATGTCTACATGTTGTGCTGAGATTTTTTCCCCCATTTTTAGAACAGTGTAACATGGATCTTTTTTCTATCTTCTATCAAATATATAAGTATCACTTTAAAAAATATCTTTAATTATAATCCCTAGTTTAGACTAATTTAACAATTCCCATGTCATTAGATACTAGGCCTATCCAGTTTTTTTGCTTCATAAACAGGGATCTCAGTGTATGTGTGCACATTTATGTGTGCACAGAACCCATTCGGTCTTTCTTAGCATTTCCCAGAGAAGAGCATGATCTTGTCTGAGACACACAGCATGAATTCTTAGCTTCCTCTGATCCATGCTCAACAATGTTACTTGATAAATATCACTTATCACTCCAGGTACCACTAAATCTCCCTCTGAAGACATTGGACTCTCTCCTCTACAAACCTGGTGAATTTACAATCAATGATAAAATCATGAAATTCGTCCATCTGTCTGCCTAAGCATTTTATTCAGTGCTACTTCCCTACTCCATTTGATCAGGGTGCTACTTTTTATTACATTTATCATACCAACTTGCAGCTATTTGAGCAGTTGCCTATCTTCCCATTAGACTGAGCTCTCTTAGGTAGATGCCCTATTTTACTCTCTATGGAATTCACTGTGCCTAACATAGTATCTGACATGCAAGAGGCATTTAATAATAGGTGCTCAATACACATTTTCTGAATGAATGAATGAGGAATGAGGGAATGAACAAAATCATTAGATAAAAAAACTCCATTATAAAAATGCCTGCAAGTATTGAAATTGCCCACTTTCAATGTTATGTTTTATAATGAAGAAAGACAACGTGCATGTCCTCTAGTACAAAAATTTTCTAGAATGAAAATGCAAATGCAACTTTCTAACCCCTTTGTTATTTTTACTGTTCTCCAGGCAGTCTCTACTCTTCTCATCTTAGTCAGATCACACATTGGAAACATTTCTCTGATATTTAATGTATTAATACAGCCAGCTCTTTGCCAGGCTCTTGTAAGGTTTTTTTTTTTTTTTTTTTTTTTTAGGTTCTTACAATTAAGACAAGCAATACCACAGAAAATACTTGCCTTAATAATAAGTTGTATTTTCCTAACCTGTATGGCTCATTAGATACCCAAAATATTTTCTACAATGCTTTTGGAATGTTTGGCTGGACTCATATATTCTGGAGTGTTTAAATTCCCCACAAGAAATGATTTATTGCATTTGCTGAATGTGCAATTCATCCTATTCTTTACTTCTCCATTTTGATGATTATCTTGAACATAAATCTTGTGTTCAAAGGTATTTATCCCTCTCTCTGCTCCTTTTTGAAAACCAAGACTCAAGTATTGTCATCAGAGCAAAATCGGATCTAGGTTTACAAATACAAATGGTTTGCAGGTGGGGAGTTGCTTGTCTCTAACTTCTCAGAGATTAACAAATTTGCATTTGAAGTGCTCTAGAAATAAACAAGAGATTTTAGTTATAAACATTGTGAAATAATAATACTGAAAATTACATTTTTAACTAGTCAAAATACAAGAACCTACCACATCATTCAATTAGCTATCCTCTTTCCCTTTCCAAAATGTTTCTTCCCTATCTATAATCTCCCCCTTGGAACATTTTTCAACTGAATTCCTAATACTCTTTCTCAATTACAAACTTCATGAGAACATTCAAATTAGGATATAAAGAGGAATTCATGTTTACTAAGCACCTCAACAAGCTAGGATCTATACCACATACGTTATAAATATTATTCCTAACAAAGTTCCAAGATAGGCATATTATTTTAGAGATAAAGGAAACAGGTTCAGAGAGGTTAACAAACTTCATCAAAGTCACAGAGCCACTAAGTAACACAGCACAATGGGACTCAGAGCTGGGATTCAACCTTGAATACCTGTGGATCCATTTTGTTTCTATTACTTTACAATGCCACATTCTTTACAGTGTAAGACATCCCTGTGTCTCTACCTCTCCCTCCTGACATTTTTCTCTTCTCTTCATCTACTCTATTAATTATGTGCATGCTGGTCTTCTCTACAGCACCCTACAGCTCCTCAGAGTTGAGATGCCTCATTGATTTCAGTTCCCCCAATCTGAGATGCCTCATTCATCTTCAGCATTCTACATTATGTGTGCGTAGGACTCTAGTAGGCACTTTGCGTATAGTTATGAACAAGACAGAAACTTAAAGAACTTGCTTCCAGAATGGAACACTGGCAAGGAAGTTAAGTACGATAATGCTGAGGTGGAGAACAACATTAAAGAGGCAATACCTGCTCTGCCTGGCTTTGCATGTAGTAGATGTTAGGTGAATGTTTTTTTACATTACAAGTTATTTATTTCTTGGGTTTTCCGCTGTAACAGAATCAAAGCACTGAAAATCAAACTTCTAGGCAAATATTTTTAGGAACATTACCTCCAGCTAATTTGTTCCCTCCCCCTTTATATATAAGCCACATTTCATTTGTTTTTCTTTCCCCTTTCTTCTTTCCTTCCTTTGCTCTCTACATTCTTAAGTACTAAATTTGATTACCCCTACCTAGATATATTATTTGGGGGAC